GCTCTCTTGGCATCTTCGGCAATTCCTGCAATTCATTCTTCAAAATGTGTGACTCTCTACATCGATCAGCAACAAAAACTTTATCTCATTTCTAAACTTTCCAACATTGCCATCCGTACTACATATTTTGTTGCAAAAATAAGCCATGGACAAATCCGGAATTACATTCTTTTTAACTTTAGCTGTTTTATTTTTTTTTTCTCAGTTTTTCCTTTTACCTTACGATTGTTATAGTTTTTTCTTGTAAAACCAGGCTAGCCAATTGCAAATTACCTTGTAATAGTGAGATTTGTAATTGTAGTTTTAATTGAATTGAAAATGAAAAGTTTCCATTATTATACGGTCGTTGAGCAGTAGCATGCGGACGATCCAGTACATGGCTCCTGTTTAACTGTGACTTACTACGCCTGGATTTAATTTATTGCAATTTATTCACTACAAATCGATGCATAACAGTTTGGGGACTCTGGAAAAACAATGATTCGCTCTTCTATCGTTTATCTTTTGATTTTACTCGTTATTTGTTTGTTTTGTGGAAAGGAATTTAGTTTGTTAGGCCGGCATGCATGGCGTTGCAAGCGAAGGACTCAAACTGGCAGTACTGGTCCCAGTGGAAACATCAACATTCCTCTCATTGACTCTGGAAATCGCGATACAGCTATTAACAACCAAAGCTGTGTGAAATGCTCTTGCGGCAAGTCATTGCAAAGGGATAAAGAGCCTCGGCATCCATCAAAGGAACTGCAGAGTCATATAAGTCTTTGATGAAGAGCAATTGTTCGAGGTCATGAATGAAGTTAGTCACGCTGACCTTGAGAATAATGATAGTCATGCTGAAATTCCCCGAGAATCATTTTGATATCAAGCCTGGAATTCGTCTTCCAATGTCTGACCAGGAATGGCTGTTAGCTAACAAATATTTCCACTCCATTTTTTCAAATGTTTCTGTCAATGCGTCAACGGTTGATCCTGTAATCCAATTAATGATTGAAACAATATACGACTACTTCAAAGAAACCTGTGGAACAATCGAATGCTGCAACAAAGATCTCAAGGAAAAACACGCCAATCTCACAGCAAAGAATTTAAAAAAAGAACTCAGAACTTTGAAACATTCTTATGCTCCTTTAATTGAAATCAAATATGTCTCTAACCTTCTTCGTAATAAAATCAAAAAACACATCTCACCCACTAAATCTTCCAGTATAACAAACCACGACCATCACAATACCAAGAATTTCTGGAATTACGTCAAGCGAACTCTACAATATGAAACTTCAGCTCTTCCAACTTTTTCTGTTGCAGGATGTACCGAATACTTTGTCAAAGCTTTTTCTGCCATCGCACCGAACAAACATTTCACCATTCCTTCATGGATCACTACTTTCAATGAACCATCTTATTCATTTGACCTAGAGCCACCTAGTTACAAAACCATTACTTCTATCATAAGGCGTATGAAAGCTTCTACTTCTCCCTGTCCTCTTGATAAGATATCTATCATCTGTTTCAAACAAAATCCCTTTCTTCGTTCTTTTCTTACTGAAATAATTTGTGTTGTCTGGCTTTCAGGTAAGGTACCATCCGAATGGAAAAAGGCCTCCTTGATTAAAAAAAACAGCTCAGATGATCCATCAAACTTCAGGCCAATCACTTTTGCTTCTTGCTTACGTGACTCCATCTTCACTTTTCTGAAACACAATGGCTTCATCGAGCACCAAATCCAAAAAGGCTTCACCTCAAAAGTATCAGGTACATTAGAGCACACAGCAATGATGAGCCATTTAATAAATAAAGCTCACATTGAGCAACGATCTTTAGTGGTATCTCTGCTGGATCTCAAAAATGCCTTTGGCGATGTTCAGCACAAGCTGATACCAGCTATTCTTGCTTATCATCAGATACCTTCGGAAATTCAATCATTGATCTCAAGCCTATATCTAGATTTTAAGACCTGTATCATAACCGACAAATTACAAAACACTGCAATTCCTGTTCGCCTCGGCGTATTGCAAGGTAAATGCCTCAGCCCCCACTCAAGGTGACTGCCTCATACAATACATCAAATCAGATAAATATGAGCAGCTTGGTTTCTCCCCACATGATGGTAATGACTGTATGTTTCAGCCAGTACACTGGTTTCAGTTTGCTGATGATGCTGCTGTTGTTACCAGTGGAGAAAAGGAAAACCAACTCTTATTGAACTGCTTTAGCAGATGGTGCCAATGGGCGAACTTCATAATCAGGGTTAACGAATGTGTTATCTTTCGTGTCAAGAAACACTACTCAATCCCTCCAATTCCAAACGAAACTTTTCATCTGTAACCAAATAGTACCTGCTGTCGATTCCTTCAAATGGCGATTCCTTCAAGTATCTTGGCCGTTTCTTTAATTTTGAAATGAGTAACCAAGATCATAAATCTAAACTTGTTTCTCTTTTTGCTACTCTTATGAATGATATTGATGACTTACCTCTCCATCCTAAAAAAACTGCTATTATACCATTGTTATGTTCGGTCTAAAGTTTCATGGCATTTTACTGTTACAGATCTACCAAAGACCTAGGTTGTCCAAAACCTAGACAATCTTGTTTCCAATAACATTTACCAGTGGCTTGATATTCCTGTTTCTGCAACATTGAGTAGAATAATCCTCTCAAAAAATCAGTTTGGCCTTAATCTACAACTGTCTTCTATCAAATTTACGCAATGCCAGACTGTCTGTCGCAATGCCCTAAAATCTTTTCCTAACTTTGACATTCAAACTCTGTGGAAAACACCAGTCATGGCAAGAACCTACAGTACGACATCTGCCGTAACACTAAAGAGGTACTAAAGGCTGTCAAATCAGACAACAAAGAACGTCTCTCTCAAAACTTACCATCTACTGGAACATTCACTGGAAAAGCTGAACCTAACTGAATGGAATTTTCGTGCAGAAAGTCAACTTTCAATGCTGCAGTGTTAGCTGATGCGTTGTCATGGTGCCATAGGATCCCGCGCAAACCAGTTTTCTTGCCATGCATCTAGCACTTTCTGTATGCCCTGGTTTACAAACCAATCTGCGTTAACTGTGCGGCGATCATCAAGAGGAATCATTGCCACGTGGCCCATTTTCCAAAAAAAGTAGCGACCATCTTTTTGTCAACGCTTCTGGAGCGCTTGAATTTTTATGGTGGGTGCTCCCCTGGAAAGATCCGGACTGACGTCTGGCGTTTCGTTTCTGGGTCAAATTGGTAAATCCAACTTTCATTACCTGTGACAATGTCTTAAACACGTTTGGACCTTCCACTATCAAACTTTTCAAGCATAAATTGGTACCAGTTTACCCGATGCTCTTTCTGTGCCTATGTTAATCAATGGGGTACCCAGCGAGCTGCAACCTTTCTCACTTCAAGATGGTCGTGCAAAATTTTTTTAATGCTGTCGATCCAATGCCAACTTTTTCCTGCATCACTTGATAGGTCACTCGGTCATCTTCTTTGAGTAGCTTTTCTACAGCAGCTATAGTTTCGGGGACGACAGCCTCCTCTTTCAGACTCTCCCTCCCTTGTTTGAATTCTGCAAACCATCGAAAAACAGTTGCCCTTTATGGTGTACGATCTTCAAAAGTTGCAACTAGTTGTTGTAGACATTCCTCTTGTTTTAATCCCTTTTTAAAATCATAATATATCATTGTGCAAAAATCGCGTCTTTCAAGCTCCATTTCGAAAATGAAATATACAGCGAGAGTCCCCTCTGTTAAAGGTTTGTTAAAAAGATATCTTTTGGTGGAAGGGACAAGAATTTGCAAAAAAACTCTTATAAATGTGTAAGTTTAAGGAAACCTGTTTTATAACGTTGGATTTGGCGCGAATTTTGAAAATCTCAATAATTTCGGAGTGACCCTCGCATTTGGTCAAGTACCCAGAGCAATTTGCCTTGTAACATCTTTAACTTTACCATCAAGTATGTATCTTAACAACACTCTTCCACCTGGTAAAAATCTGCTAAAATGGAACCTTAGTCAAAGATCTGACTGTGAATTCTGTCTTCTTCCAGAAACACTTCTACATGTTGTGGCTGGATGCAAAGTGTAGCTTGACCAAGGCCGCTAAACTTGGCGTCATAATTTTGCATTACACTTTCTAGCCACTTTCAAGAGGTTCATCTAGAACTCAGCAAACTTCTACTGAATGTGAGAAACAGAAATGGGCCTGCAGAAATTGTCAAGTGGTTCTTGGAGAAACTACATCTGCTGCAGTGCACTATGAGACTTGTATTGCAATCAACCATGAGAGTGGTATTGTCAGTACCGCCGAGAGGGAGGCGGGTAGCCAGGGGCAACTACCCCAGGGCCCAGGACCATTTTTAGTTCCTGTAAAAAAATCGAAGCTATTTTATTCTGTTATATTTTGTAATGATATTGAAGCAAAGACTTAAAGTACATATGATGCGAAAACTTGTCAGCTTTTGACAAAAGTGAAGGGGAATAGCTTTCAGTTGCTGCTATTTTTGCCTTGCAAGAACGAACCAGTCTTTTTTCTAAGGATAATTCAGACGCGGAACCAGGCGAAGCTGGCATGGCTCGAAGCTTTCATGATCAGGCAGAGGACGAAGATGTAAATGATTTACATCAGACGAAAATGGTGATTTACAGAAGCTAAAAGTGCACCCCAGAAAGTAAGTCTTGCACGCCCCTATGGGCATGGCAATCTAGATTGGTCAAATCAGGAATTAGGCAAATGTTCTGCAAATTTGCATATTTGCAAATTTTGCAAATAATCAAAAAATTTTAATTACACTAGAAATCAAACAGAGTAATGGAAAAAAACAAGTGTCTATTTGTAATGGACTTCAAATGTGTCTATTTGTAGACAAAATTAAATACTGTTGTTATAAGTCATCAACCATAAACTTGTATCTTCATATTTGTGTGTTTAATAACCTGACATCAATTTCAACTTTGAATTAAACTGATGTACATTTTCACCCTCTTTATTTTATTTCCTGTATAGTCAAATGAATGCAAAGGTAGTTCCAAAGGCTTTCTCAAATCACATCCAGAACAAGCACAACAACCACGAAGACAAACTGTTTCAGAGGTGTGCACATGGAGAACTAGATCATAAACGTAGATGGATTCTCAATGGTTTGTATCATTTTGTCAAATCACTGCATTTTATACAAATGTAGCCCCTTTCATAATTTAATGGTTTTTTAAAGAGAGGCAATCACCCTTCATTAAAGATCCCTAAATGGTCTTGCGTCTTTTTTCAAACCTAAGAAAATAAACAATTGTGCTGATTGTTAAACTTCCCATATACTTCTCCTTAACAGCTAACATAAAATAATAGTATTAAATATATGTAATTCAACAGGAACTACTGCATATGACAAGATTCAGCCAATTCTAATGAATCAAAGCCTTCTACAAGACATTGCAAAATTGTCATCAAATGCACAAACCAGCTGTCTCGAGGGTTACCACTCTACACTGAACCAATGGCACCCAAAGATGACACATTACTCCTGGATTGGCTCTCTGTGCAGGTACTTATGACTAGAGATACCAATCATTAATTAGAAATTACTGAGCATTGTGCATTGTATTGTTTTTCACTATACTATCTTTACTACCTGCCAAGCTATCTTTGGAGAAAATTAATTGCTGAGAAAATTTGTCAACACTGAGTAAATAACTGAAATGTAAATTTTGGATATTGTTGCTTCCTGTAAATTGTACTTCTAGAGAGTTTAAGAAAGTGCCAACGTGTGCAACAGTATTTGAATGCCATTCCTAGCAAAAACACAGCCTACTTTACATAAATGTATAATTTTTATTTGTATAAGTATCAACAAAATAAAACTAAACTTCATTTGCGAGTCAAACAGAAAATGTATCCAAATACCCAACAAAGAACTGATATATTTTTTCCAAGGCATATAATGGCAGTTTCACATTTCAACGAAAACCTGCACAGGGAAGCGCAAAAAGACAAAAATGGAAAGGAATATTTCAAAGTTTCTTATCCTAAATATAAACTTGGCGAAGAAGCAGTAAAACCTGTTCCAGTCCCTCCATCTTACAGTGAGTAGACAGCATACAACATATAATATACATAATCTTGCCATATAAAGAAAATCAATTCATATTTTGCCCTGAGAAATGGGAGATGAGAAATGCTATTGTAGTTTTCAAGAACTGATATTAGTTTAAATATATTAGATAAACTATTAGTTTTATACATTTTTACAGAAATTATTTCAGATTATGTTTAATATCCAAAATAATTGCTTTTATATTTTCAAAAAAATTATTACAGATTACGTTGAGCATACAAAAGAACTTTTATTTAAATCAAACGAAGAAGAACTTGGCCAGATTTGGAAAAGTATGCTGATAAGCAGTGGCGTAGCGTCCGGGTATTCAAGTTATTCAGTGAATACCCTGGGATTTCTCAGAAAAAATATTAATACGACGCATAATTGTAATAAGTAAAAAATGTTTTGAGGCTATTGATTCTAGTTGAATTCGTTACCTCCGATATTCTACATTTTGTACAAGTACAAAATATCATCAAATTCATGGAAACAATAACGCTGCGAAGCATAGAGAGGCTGGCAGATCTTTGAAGCTAATTTTGAAGATTGAGCTACTTCATGTTGTATGGAGATCGGTCATGAATACGCAGTGAATACCCTAGACGGTACTTAACCAATCAAAATGCTCCTTTCCATGAATAATATTTGCCGTTAATCAGCTAAAACAATGGTTCTTTACGCTGAGAAATATGCAGCGTACAGCCTCAAAGTTGGTTCAAAATAGTCTCGTTATGAGATCGATATAAACAGTTAATGGACGTCGGAGCGGTTGGATTGATGGAGCTGCATCGAAAACAGTAAACATGACTTAATTAAAAAACTATTGCAATGTCCGTATTACTGCTTCATAATCATTCTCTCATTTGACCCCTAATCTTAATCTACCAACAGCAAAGTGGAAAGGAAAGGTAGGCTGCTACATAATACTACACTGACTCAGATCTGTTCTCTCTTGAAATGCCAATTTGTTATTGCTTGCCAATCAGGGATGTTTCTGTTTGTACTATGTGATAGAATTAAAGTAAATGCAGATAGGCCTGGATAATATCCTTATAGTTGCCTGGTGTATTCAGTTATCTTGTTGGCCTATTTTGTTTGCATTATTCGAGCGCATTTATTTGCATTATTGTGCAGTCTCATCTCATTACCTTCGATTCTTTCAAATATTAACTTGTATTAAAAATATCACGATTAGGCCATGAAGAAAAGGTCTATACTGCATACCACAAAATCATTTATAACTCATGTAATGCCCTATGTGAATAATTTTGAAACTTTCGAAAGCCCTTTTGTATTAAAAGGTATCAAGAGTAGGTGTTTACAGTTACTTCCTCTTTACATCAGTGCAAATGTTAGACGATTCAACAACAACTATTGGGACATATTTCGACCAGTAAAATTTTACTGACATTCAATAATATGTTTTGATTTGAATTGCTTTTGATGAAATGGTTAGTGGTAATTTGATGCAATGAATGAGTTCGAAGAGTGTATTTGAAGGGTCCTTTAACAAAGTATCGTTTTCATCATAGTAATGCCCTGACAGTGCAGTACTTGCCAACCGAACCAAAAAAAATTAAATAAAATGTCAATAGCAGGTCTTTTTAATCTTCCTATTATCCCCCTATTTTCATCAAGCCCCATTGAGCCACACCCTGCCCCACCCTTTTGTTTAATAGAGAATACCCAGTTGAAAAAGTCACGCTACGCCACTGCTGATAAGATGCCTGCATCCTTGGTGAGCAGATTTGAAAGAACAAAAAGTAAGAAAGAGGCTGTAAAAGAATATAAAAAAGGAGAACACTATTTCAACCATTATACCCTTCAGGTAATATACTTAATTTAAACAGAGGCCAGAAAATAACGCTTCATTTGCATTTTCATTTAAAGTTTTGTTGATTAATCATTAAAACTGTATGATGAAAAATTTTGCCATTCTTTATTCTAAATTTAATAATCAATGTTTATCTTACCAGAAAATGATCAATACAAACTCCAAAAAGATTTGGTAGCTGAGCAAGCATGCAACAGAGCTGATCGTTTGCCATAAAAGAAAGGCCCCTTCATGCAAAAAATGTGGCCAATTGATGAAAGGACATTCTAAGACTTTATGCAAAGAATGACTTAAAGAATTATATACACTTGCATGAAATTAAATATAACAAAAGCTAATTGTATAAAGATAATCTATGTTTTTAGTTACGTTCTATGTAACGTTCTACGTAAAAAAATACCAATAATATATATATGTGTATATATATATATCATATATAAATTTATATACTATATTTAGATATGTATATATATATTCAAATATTTAGATATATATATATATATATTCATTTAATGAACTTCAAATTAGAGATGTCTACAGTAAATTAACATAGAACTCACATAGATATTTAAATAGGCTGATGATTCCTCGTTAAAAGGACGAAACGCGTTCCAGAAAAATAATAAATTGTCTTTTGCCATGGTCTTTCTAAAACATTTTTCTTTATAACGTTTCTGCTTTTTGTGAAACAAAAGTTTAGTTATTATATATATATATATTTATGCAATATATGTAGTATCAGTGTAAAATGTTAGTTTATTATTATAAATTAGCATACTAGTATATACTACTAGCTCCCCTACGAAGCCCGCTACGCGGGTTTGCCAGTGGCCCTACGGCAGGGTACATAGATTAGCCTCGGAAAAGACAAGAGGTGTATTAACCTCGATTTGAAAACAATTGGCTCCGCACAGGTCACGTGATAAAAAAATTGCTTGTACTCTTTAAATTCGCACTCCTGTGACTATCGCTAGGAAGGGGGGAGCCTTAAATAATAAGGGGGTAGAGGCTCCCCCCTTCCTAGCGATAGTCACAGGAGTGCGAATTTAAAGAGTTCAAGCAATTTTTTTATCACGTGACCTGTGCGGAGCCAATTGTTTTCAAATCGAGGTTAATACACCTCTTGTCTTTTCCGAGGCTAATCTATGTACCCTGCCGTAGGGCCACTAGCAAGACCGCGTAGCGGGCTTCGTAGGGGAGCTAGTCTAGGAAGGGGGGAGCCTTAAATAATAAGGGGGTAGAGGCTCCCCCTTCCTAGCGATAGTCACAGGAGTGCGAATTTAAAGAGTTCAAGCAATTTTTTTATCACGTGACCTGTGCGGAGCCAATTGTTTTCAAATCGAGGTTAATACACCTCTTGTCTTTTCCGAGGCTAATCTATGTACCCTGCCGTAGGGCCACTAGCAAGCCCGCGTAGCGGGCTTCGTAGGGGAGCTAGTCTTCCGTTAATTGAAAGTTGCTTCAAAACATTTGCAAGCCCAGGTCTATTCGTGTTCTTCGTTTAAATATTTTAATGGTTTACCACCTAAGTAAGCCCCCCTTGCATAAGCCCCCCTCGAATTAGCCCCCTGGGGGCTTATTTATTTTTGATATTTTTGGATGGGGGCTTATTCGAGGGGGGGGGCTTATACGAGGGGAGGGGCTTATAAAATTATTGTAGACATTAAAAAGAAATTATTAAAAGATCTCGTTTATTTTAGTAGGAATTTCTTTATGAGCTTTTAATTAATTATTACCAAAAGTATGAGTTTTTGTGGCAATTCAAGAAAATGCCAAAGGAAACCTCAGATGGCAAAAATTCATCAAAATAAGGGGGTCGGTCCAATTCTAGAATTAACGGTAACAGTGGGGGCTTATTGAAATTTTTAGTTCTAGGGTGGGGGCTTACTCGAGTGGGGTTAACTCGCGGATTTTCGGTATTTGTAAATCTTGCCGCGGCTATCGGGTGCGCGCGTAGCGGGGCTCTTAGGGGAGCTAGTCTCCCGTTCACTGAAATGTGCATACAGATTTAATGTATTACGGTTGCAATATCGAGGCAAGTTTGAAACTTGCTTAAATACATTTTGCGAGCCCCGGTCTATTCGCTGTTCTCATTTATGTATTTTCACGGGTTACCCCCTCAAGCTCTACTGTTTTTTCTGATTTCAATGATTAAGTTTTTTATCACTACATTTCTTTTAGCCCTTGTGGGGCTCGTTTAATATTGGTTACATGTGGGGATGCTCGAAAATGCGGCCATGCTTTTCGCAAAAGAAAAGAGTTTTCGTGCAGAATTTTTCTTATGAGTCTTTATTTGATTACCCTTGCCAACCCCTCCGTACTTTTCAACTGGCGTCGGAGCATAGATATCGCTGCTGAAGAGAGAGAAAAATGTTTTGAAAACTTTCTGAAAAGATATGAATGAGCCCTATAAAACTTCTGAGCTAATTGCGAAAGGCTGCTGAAAAACGTTGACAAAGGTTCTCCCATAGAATTTCCATAAATGAGCAGCGATGGACAATGGCAACGCGATAACAAAAAATATTATATTGCGGATTGCGGAAAGCTGTTGTAAAACGTTGACAAAGGGTTCTTCCATAAAATCTATACAAATGAGAAGCGATGTACAATGGCAACGCGATAACGAAGAAAAATGTTATATTTCGAAAAAACCAAGGCAGAAATCGAAAAACGAAGCTCACCATGTAATATTAGAACCCCTAGTGGACCAACCCGTAAAAATTGAGCAAAATAGGACCGGCAGCGTGAGAGGAGATACGGCTCGCAAAACAATGGCGATCAGCAGCAATATCAGCGTTTTTAGCTCATTTGCATATTCACAAATTAGTTATAGTAGATATTATATATGTACACATACTTCTTTCATTAAAAGAGATCAATTATGAATCAACAAAAAGAATCAAATATGTTTGCTATCTATTTCAGCCTAAACTTGACAATTAAACTTTGTACATACTCATTTTCTGTTACATTTGCCCTTTTCTTGTAGGGCTTTCCATCCTTTTTCCGAAGCAATGGACCAACGTTTCTAAGGACATTGATATTTGTAAAAGGCCTTTAGTCTTCATGAAGGGTCACACACTTCATTTCATCTGATTGGCCGTTAAAAACGACTTTTCCATAAGCAGGTGCCACTCCATGGCAGCAACGGTACTCTCTGGCACTTTCCAAGTTCGCTGCTGAGCATTTGCCGCACACACACCTAAAAAAGAGCTGCAGTTGTATCGTTGTACCGACATGAAAGGGTGGATAATTTGAACTATTTAAAAAGCCATGAAAACAAAAACCACTCACCATTGATCTACACTTAGGTTCCCCGTCTGTCTTTCGCGAAAAGTTTCTGGAGATATCCCATCTTCATCCTGCGGTTATTCTCAGTCATTAGGCCTAGGCCCATCATCGCCTTCGTCGTCCGTACTAGCCAAAGGCTGGTTTAAGTAGGGCAGATAATATCCGCCATAAGCTCCATATAGTTCTTCATCACTTGCAGAATGATTCGATGTCATAGAAGAGATTGATTTGCTTGTAGACATAATTATAAATTGTGCCTTCACGTTAATCGATACACCGCAAAACCCGACCCAGTCCATTGT